ATTTCCCAGGACTTCCCTAGCAGCACAGTGGTTAAGAATCTGCCTGCCAATGCAGGAGACACGGGTTTGAGCCCTGGTCCAGGAAGATCCGTGGAGCAACTAAGCCCATGTGCCACAACTACTGAACCTGCACTCTAGAGCCCGCGAGCCACAACTACTGAAGCCTGCCTGCCTAGAGCCTGTGCTCCGCAACAAGAGAAGCCACTGCAATGAGAAGTCAGCACAATGTAGAGTAGCCCCTGCTTGCTGCAACTAGAGAAAGCCCACGTGCAGCTATGAAGACCCAACGCAGCCAAAAATAAAAATAAATAAATTAAAAAAAAAAAAAGAATCCACCTGCCAATGCAGGGGACATGGGTTTGATTCCTGGTCTGGGAAGATCGCACATGCTGCAGAGCAACTAAGCTCAGACGCCACAACTACTGAGCCTGTGCTCTAGAGCCCGCGAGCCGCAACTACTAAAGCCCGTGAGCTCTAGGGACCGTGTGTCGCAACTACTGAGCTCGTGTGCTGCAACTACTGAAGGCTGAGAGCGTAGAGCCCGTGCTCCGCAACAAGAGAAGCTACTGCAATAAGCCCCCACTCTCCACAACTAGAGAAAGCCAGCGCGTAGCAACGAAGACCCAATGCAGCGCACCGCCCCCCCCAAAAACAAAGAAAAAGAAAATTGTCCGTAAGGTCAAACATAGCATAAGGAACAGCAGCAGAATTCAATAAAATTTTGCAAAGACAGAAGATAAATGGATGGATAATAACTCATTCAGTAGAGCAAAGAAAGCTATGACACCAAGTGTCTACAGAAGCAGATACCGATAAGAAGAATTAAGCTAACTGATTCTACAAAACCCAGTGGATCCAGACTGGGCGGGGGAAGGTACAGGGGAGAATGGGGCTTAAGTGTGAAGCTGAATAAAAACAGGTTCTTGCCTGACAATACAAATATGGAATAATCAAAGCCTCAGAGGTTTCAAGCAACTACCCTATCCCCACCCCCAGAGACGATAGCCTGAAGAGTTACAGTCTGAAGAAAGTGAACAGAACAAGCTTGGGATGTGGAGCACCAGATTTGAAAGATCTGTACGAGATACAGAGTGATTAAGAAGGGAAGAAAGTAAAGGTATAAGAAGTGCTTGAATTCAGTCCTGCATCTGCAACCTCATACAGGCAGCCAATCATAAACTCACTAGGCATAAAATTGGAAATTTTCTAGAGAAACCAACCAGCCTCAAAGAAAAGACTCCACGGATTAACATTTAAAACCTCTGGCTGCCATTTACATTACCCTACAAAGATGCCCAACATTTTACAAGTTCAGCTTACGCACACAAAAAGCCTTTTAATCCCTAACTCTTAAATATGGACAATCAAGGATCACCAGACATCTAAGTAAAGCCTTAAAAGTGAAAGAGAAATAGAAGAGAGAAATTCAGGAATCCAAAGATAGCTTAAAAAACACTCTGCTGCATATACAAATCAACAACAGTTTTAAAAAGGGATGTTTCAAACTGGAAACATACACAGATGTCCACACAAAAACTTGTACACAAATATTCACAGCATTATTATTCATAATAACGAAGTGGAAACAATCCAATTGTCCATCAACTGATGGACGGATAAACAAAAGGTGGTACATCCATTAAATGGAATATTCTGGCCATAAAAAGGAACAAAGTACTGCTAACAAGCTACACTACAGATTTATGCTAAGTGAAAGAAGACAACACACAAAAAGCCACAAATTCTAAAATTCCATTTACATAAAATGCCCAGAATAGGCAAATCCATAGACAGAAGGTGCAATAGTGGCTGCCAGAGGCTCAGGGGAGGAGAAAATGGGAAGCATTGTTAATGGGTACAGGGTTTCTATTTGGGGTGGTAAAAATGTTCAGGAATTAGACGGTGGTGATGTTTGCACAACTTTCTGAAAATACTAAAAGCCACTGAACTGTATATTATAAAAGGGTGAACTTTACGGTATGTAAATTATATCTCAATAAAGATGTCGTAAAAAATGTCCTCCCAATGTTCTACTTTGGGAAAAAAATGGCATCATCTTGTAAAAGTGTAGATAAGCATGCCCCATGATTCAGAAATTCCACTTCTAAGAGAATACATGACAGAATTTCTTTCATGTTCACCTAGGAAGACGCACTATTACCACTAATTATATAGCAAAACATAATATCAAAAAAAAGGAAAACAATCCATATGACCATCAGTAAAAAATTTGACCATTTATGGCATATTTCTATAATGCAATGGTATATAACAGTGAAAAATAAATAAACTACATATAGGCTGGGTGAAAAAAGCAAATTTTGGAGGAATACAGAACTAAAACTTACAAATTATAAATGTTTATTTATATAAATATATAATTAAAGTAAAAAATATGGACAGGAATGATAAACACCAAACTTAGGATAGTGGATTACCTCTGGTTATTACCTCTGTGGAAGAAAGAAATGGAATTAGAGCCTTCATGTTTTGTTTCTTTGGGATAAAAATCTGAAGCTAGTATCACAAAATATTAAGATCTGACTAAGCTAGGTTTTGTGTTTATTTTCTAAACGCCTTTTTTAAAACACTTCTGAAAGCAAGGATCACATGATTTATAAAACAGAACTGGCAATATGTACGTTACTGATAAAATGAAGAAGGAAAAGATTTTAAAATAACTTCTCAACAGAGTGGAGATTATGGAGGGAGGGAGTATGGACAGTGTTATTTTTCATTAAAAAAATCATTCAGGGACTTACTTCCCTGGTGGCGCAGTGGTTAAGAATCTGTCTGCTAATGCAAGGGACATGGGTTCAAGCCCTGGTCCGGGAAGATCCCATGTGCTGTGGAGCAACTAAGTCCACGAGCCACAACTACTGAGCCCACACACCACAACTACTGAAGCCCGCATGCCTAGAGCTCGTGCTCCTCAACAAGAGAGGCCACTGAAATGAGAAGCCCCCGTACTGTGGCAAAGAGTAGCCCCCACTCGCCGCAACTAGAGAAAGCCTGCGCGCAGCAATGAAGACCCAATGCAGCCGAATATTAATTAATTTAAAAAAATCATTCAGTATTTTTTCACTTACAGTGTGCACGTAGGGACTTCGCTGGTGGCGCAGTGGTTAAGAATTCACCTGCCAATGCAGGTGACACGGGTTCCATCCCTGTTCAGGGAAGATCCCACATGCTGCAAAGTAACTAAGCCTGTGAACCACAACTACTGAGCCTGCGTGCCTAGAGCCCACGCTCCACAACAAGAGAAGCCACTGCAATGAGAAGCCCGTGCACCGCGATGGAGAGTAGGCCCTACTCGCAGCAACTAGAGAAAGCCCGCGAGCAGCAACAAAGACCCAACGCAGCCAAAAAAAAGTGCTTTAAAAAAAATGTGCATGTAGCACCAGGATAAATTTTTAAAACTAAGAGACAAAGGAAAATCAATGACCAAGTCAAAAAAACTTATATATGCTCAGAATAAAAACTGCAAAAGGAGTCAATCAATCACAATTAGATGCTAAAATTATTGTTTAAAGGTGGCTAAAGAAAAAGACTCACATAGTCCTCAAATACTAACCCAGAGGTTACTTATTAGAGAAAAAGGGACTAAAGGTACCATTACAATGGAGAGATCTGACCACCTTAACCAAGTAACTAAACTTAATACCACCAAAAATGGGACCAAGAGACGTGGTATGTCTCTTGCTATGCTGCACCTGAAAACAATGCACCACCCATGAACCACTCTTACAAAGAATGCTTACTCTGAATCTAATTATGAACAATCAATCAAATTCAAATTGGGAGAGACATTCTGCAAAAGACCCAGGCGCTTCAAAAACATCAATGTCATGAAAGACAAAAACAAGCAAACAAAAAGAGGCAGGGAACTGTTCTACAATAAAGGAAATGTCTAAAGAAACATGACAATTAACTGCAATGTATAGGGACTTCCCTGGTTGTCTGGTAGTTAAGACTGTGCACTCCCAATGCAGGAGGGCCCGGTTTGATCCCTGGTCAGGGAAATAGATCCTGCATGCCACAACTAAGAGCCCACATGCCACAACGAAAAAGATCCCGCATGCCACAACTAAGACCCAGTACAGCCAAATAAATAAATATTTTTAAAAAATAATAATAATAAAGGGCATCCCTGGTGGCGCAGTGGTTGGGGGTCCGCCTGCCGATGCAGGGGACGTGGGTTCGTGCCCCGGTCCGGGAGGATCCCACATGCCGCGGAGTGGCGGGGCCCGTGGGCCATGGCCGCTGAGCCTGCGCGTCCGGAGCCTGTGCTCCGCAACGGGAGAGGCCACAGCAGTGAGAGGCCCGCGTACCGCCAAAAATAATAATAATAATAATAATAATAAAAATAAGTGATACATACATATATATATATATATATATATATCCCTGACTGGAAATTACTGGAAAAATTAAATATGAACTATATGTATTTTAATTAACAATACTATATCAGCCTTAAATTTGATAATGGTTTTGTGAAAATGTAGGAGAATATCCTTGATCTTAGGAAATATAAGAAGTATTCAAAGGTGAAATGTAATGTCACAACTTACTCTGAAATTAGAAGAAAAAAAATCGAGGGGTGTGTGTGTGTGTGTGCGCGCGCGCACACGCACGCAGAGTGTGTGTAAATATGACAAAATGTGTTACAAGGGTGTTCACTATTTAATTCATTTAACTTTTCTGCAGGACTGAAACTTTTCAAAATATAAACGAGGAAATTATTCAGAGCCCTCTTGCTAATTTTTCTTTAGTTTGAAATTTATAACAAAAAATTTTTAAAATGAAAAATAAACAGTTTAACTTACAGCAAGGAGCTGTCTTATAAGCATGTCTGAGGCCTTTTCAGAAATGTTGCCAACAAAAACTGTAGTAGTGGGACCACAGTTTTCATCATTTTCTTTAGCCTTCAAGCCTGGATGATCCTTCCGTGCTCCCAAATGTTTTCCAACCATGGACACAGTCGGTACTAAGACCTAAGTGATGAAAGACAATAAAATTGGAACTTGCAATTAAATTTGCTATCATGCTTAATGTAATAACATTAGGCTAAAAACATCAATTTTAAAGTATTAAATATATAGCACATCACCATTACAGGTTCTACATACTTAGTCTAAAACTCCCAAGCACATTTTTCATTAATGTGAACTTATTCATGACAAGTAAAGTTCCACTATTGCATTACCTTTCTTTTAAAGACAACTTGGAGGGCTTCCCTGGTGGCTCAGTGGTTAAGAATCTGCCTGCCAATGCGGGGGACACGGGTTCGAACCCTGATCTGGGAAGATCCCACATGCCACAGAGCAACTAAGCCCGTGCACCACAACTACTGAGCCTGCGCTTTAGAGCCCGTGAGCCACAACTACTGAGCTCACGTGCCACAACTACCGAAGTCCACGGGCCTAGAGCCCATGCTCCACAATAAGAGAAGCCACTGCAATGAGAAGCCTGCGCACCGCAATGAAGAGTAACCCCTGCTCACTAAAACTAGAGAAAGCCCGCGCGCAGCGATGAAGACCCAACGCAGCCAGAAATAAATGAATAAATAAATTTATAAAAAACAAAAAAAAAACAACTTGGAAAGAAATTTTCTTATGTTTAAGACAATTCTTAAATGTTTAAGACATCGTAAATCTCTGCATTCATATAAAAGGAAATTGCAATTATCCCTGCTAATTTTCTTGTAGAATATTCAAATACTCCCATAGCACTCTCCCCACACTTAAAGTTTACCTTTTCTCAGTTACTTGTGTTTCTATCTTATTTTCCCTTCATAACATTCAACTTCCCAGAGGAAAGAAATAGTCTTATTCATCTTTGTATTTGAAATTGAATTGAGCAAAACATCCACAGTAGGCACTGAAGTGGTGAACTGGGGGAGCTGCCTTTTCCTAGGCTAAAATGCAAGAGGGTAAGAGTATCTGTCATGTGGAGGTTTCCCAATAAATGTTTCCCAATGAATGTCCAATGCAAGAAAAGCTGGATTCCCCCTTGGTCTGCCTCACAGCAGATTCCTATTTGTTCATGTAGTTCCTATCTCATCACCCTTTTTTTTTTTGCGGTACACGGGCCTCTCACTGTTGTGGCCTCTCCCATTGCGGAGCCCAGGCTCCAGACGCGCAGGCCCAGCGGCCACGGCTCACGGGCACAGCCGCTCCGCGGCATGTGGGATCCTCCCGGACCGGGGCACGAACCCGTGTCCCCTGCATCGGCAGGCGGACTCTCAACCACTGCACCACCAGGGAAGCCCTCATCACCCTTTTAATATAAATAATACTCCCCGCCTTCTTCAAAACCCACAGGTAGAAAAACAGTTGAAAGTAATGAGACCTACTCTCCCTCACAATGAATTATAAATTAAGACCGGTATTTTACTAATTAACTCAAAGAAAATTTTTAGTTAAATAAATGTTTTAAGAGGGTTATTATTTATTCACATGTTACAGTATACTAGCATTCTTACCTAAGATGCCTAGAGTGTACAGAGCTTTTATGAATGTAGAGAATTAAAGTTCAAGACATAAGACTGAATAATGAAACACTTCAGCAGAGGAAAGGCTTCAATAAAACTTTACAAAGCTTGAAGATACCATACTAGAGGACAGAGAAAAAATAGCTTGGAAGAAGCTAAAAATTAGGTAGGTGGGAGGAAAGAGTAGAAATATATTCAACTTTCATTTCAAAATTTAGATTTCTGCTAGATCATTCCTCCTTTTTCTTTTAAGAAATCAGACATGTCAGATCACTTCTCCTATCTCCCAGGATCAAGACACGAGGGCATGATGAAAGAGTCAATGTCTAAATCTGAAATAACAGTATATGAAGAGTCTAGAGAATAAGAGGGAGATCACTAAACTATTTAGGGAGCATATTTTAGGGGCAAGTGCTTATATGCATAGAGTGAAAACAATACTTATTTAAATAAGTAGTATGATATACATGGATGCTCTTATTCCCTTCCTATTATTCTTTTAAATATTTAAAATAATTTATCTGGGCTTGATAAAGTTGTTCAGATTTAAAAGCAGTGGCACTCTTAATTCCTCCTTATACTTACAGTTGGAGCTGGAGCCATAATGCTCATTGGTACAGGAATCATTGGAGTCCCTAAGAAAAAAGCATAGTGAATCTTAAGAATATAATTATATATACAACTATATATTGTATATCAACTACATGCCATACAAATAAGTACTTCCAACTCACAGTTCTTTTAAGGGGAAATGTAGGATTAATGAAAATGAGAAATTAATGGATATTTTTCAAAAGCAACATAGTTATCAGGTTGGTCTAAATAAACTTACAAGCAAAAAGACTCTTTAAAAGCAAAAAGACTACCACAGCCTGCTTTTGCCTTAAGGAGTAAAACTGTGGATAGTTATCAATTCATGTTCATCTAGTTCAGTACATCCTCAAAACCAGCAACTTTCATACAGATTTGCTTACAGGTGAACAATGGTATTAATGACTCCTTTAAAGGTAAAAATAAATTCTTTGAAAGTTAAAAAACAAAAGCATCAAATAAGAAATTAATCTGGAAACCTAGGAAGAATCTTGTTATTCCTGGTTATTTAATATAAGCAAAAATCATGAAAAAAAAAATAAGATTAGTAATCTCAGTCACTGTCAAAGAGAAAATCTCTAAGACAAGCATCTACTGCCCTAAGGGTTTTAGACAGCTATCAATGGGCTATCACTATTGACATCTTACTGGAATCTGCAATTTTGTTTTCACCTAAATTGTTTACTAATCAATAGCTGCTACATTGACAGTCCTTGTGTACATAACTAATGACGAAATCTTACCATTTGAGAACTAAGAAAAAGGTTGCAATGAGGGTAAAACCAGTAAAAGATCTGTCTACTAAAACACAAATTTTAAAATGCTTCTAGAAGTATCTCAAGAAGTTCTGAAATCACTTTTCAGTTCAAATTTAGCATCAACTTAAGATAACTGTCCATCTAAGACTGGTAATAAACTCTTAACAACTATCCATTTATTTTCCAATATAACCTATTTAAAATAACCTCAGTTTTAAACAAAATTTTTAGAAGATGAAAATCTAGATACTTATCAATAAGCCTACAGAAGACTGTACAAAATAGAAAAAAAAAAAAAGACTGCAGAATCAAATTTGGGTTCTTTTTTTTCCTTTTGCGGTACACGGGCCTCTCACTGGCCTCTCACCGCTGTGGCCTCTCCCATTGCGGAGCACAGGCTCTGGACACGCAGGCTCAGCAGCCATGGCTCCGGGCCCAGCCGCTCCGCGGCATGTGGGATCTTCCCGGACCGGGGCATGAACCCATGTGCCCTGCATCAGCAGGCGGACTCTCAACCACTGCGCCACCAGGGTAAGCCCTGGGTTCAATTCTTGGTTCTATCACTTTTAGCTATGCAAACTTGGGAAAGCTCTTTAACCTCAGCTTCAGTTTCCTCAATTCAAATGAGGTAATTATTTCCTCAGAGTGCCTACTGAGATCATTTATGTGGAGCACTTAAATAGGTGGATACTCAAAACTACCATCAACTCTAAATTTTTCACTTTTAACTTTGCAAAACAAAAGCAAATACTCCATTTACCAACTGTAATCTGTGCAGCACCTCTTCCACAGGTAAACTTTCTATTTAAGAAAACCTTAAGAAAAAGACATTTTGAAAAAAAAATTTTTTTCCTTTTTAATAGTTACTAAAAGGTTTAATAGTATGGTTCCCACCTCAACTTACTAATTTCATGAAATGCAGAATTTACAAAAATGTATTGCTGCTCATTACAGATCTATGAATGCTACGGTTAAAAAAAAAAAAAAGGCAAAGTGCACAAAGTGTAAACAGTGTATATACCAGCTGAGGTCTGAAAAAAAAAGCAGGGTAGAATAAACATAAGCAAACACAGTGGGATATACTTTACATCTCTGGAGAGCTACACACCAGAAACTGATAAGACTTCCCCCCCTTTGGGGAAGGGAATGCTCAGGAACTATGGGGGGGAAACTTCCTTTAATCTATAGCATGCATTACTTTTTTTTTTTTTTTTTTTGCGGTATGCGGGCCTCTCACTGTTGTGGCCTCTCCCGTTGAGGAGCACAGGCTCCGGACGCGCAGGCTCAGCGGCCATGGCTCACGGGCCCAGCCGCTCCGCGGCATGTGGGATCTTCCCGGACCGGGGCACGAACCCATGTTCCCTGCATCGGCAGGCGGACTCTCAACCACTGCACCACCAGGGAAGCCCAGCATGCATTACTTTTAAAGGAAAAATTATGGTTTTTTTCTAATTTATTTTCTAATTTAATATATAATGTGATCGCCACATACGTTATCTCAGAGTTCAATTAATTGCACTAATAGGCAACACAAGAAAATTATACATGAATATGGGTATTGTGGTCTTGAATTATTATACTAGTTTAGCATACTTCTTTCTTTTATTTTTTCAAGTATTGATGCTGCACACAGGATGCAGGTATGAATGAGTTAGCTGTAACTAAAGTCTGATTTATCATTCAAGTATGCTTCCCTAAACAGAAATGATACTGTATGCTATCACAAATGGAATCAGAATTGTTTAATAGCGTTAATACTCTGTGAACAAATGCCCACATTAGTATGGCACTGACCAAACAGACAAGAAGAAATACTGAAAATCTGGTTTTAAGGTCTGCTGACCCATCTTAAAAGATATACTAAGATTAGCCTTAAGAGAAACATGGCCCATTTATCTTCCACTTCCATTTATAATTTGGTATAGTGTTCATCAGAAAACAAGTTACATTTAGTATGTGTTTTTAAAAAATTCAAAGGAATTAAAATCTTTCCTATAAAACCAATATACTGGTAAGGAACTGATTTTTTTCATTGTCACCGTTCCTGATTCTGAACAAGTTTTATCTCCAATGCCTTAAAATTTCTTCAGAAATAGAAAGTAAACTACTCTTCCCTATAACTCTAATAACACAAACTTTGCTAAAAGTATCATGGTTATTACTAAAGACTATCAAAAAATAGATCATATTATGAGACTATAAATTAATGAAAAAAAAATATGGGGATGCCCTCAAATATTGATGCCCAAATGAAAATGGCTCAGGGCACTATCCTTCTCAAGTAATCAATTGGTTTGATGGTTGACAAGTAACTTTTTTCGGTTTTCTATTAACATTATTTTCTTAATCGCCCTTTTCAGGAGAAATTCCTTTACAGTCCATTACAGAGCTGTTAAGTTACTGACTAAAATTCAGTAATTGTTACATGGAATAATAAACTGATAGTACTCAAACGTTCACACTAGGTCCCCTGGCAGCAAGGGGTAACAAATACACATCCATGATTATCTAAAAGACCAACTTAACACAGCCAGCTACAAGCATAAATGTCTTAAAAACTTGTACAAGTACTGCATTCTACTCCACAGTATATATGCATAAGTAGTTGTTCTGATTTTTTTTTTTTTTAAATTTTGGCTGCGTTTCGTTGCTGCACACGGGCTTTCTCTAGTTGCGACACGCAGGCTTCTCATTGTGGTGGCTTCTCTTGTTGGGAGCATGGGCTCTAGGCGCATGGGCTTCAAAAGTTGTGGCACACAGGCTCAGTAGTTGTGGCTCATGGGCTCTAGAGCACAGGCTCAGTAGTTGTGGCGCACGGGCTTAGCTGCTCCGTGGCATGTGGGATCTTCCCAGACCAGGGCTTGAACCCGTCTCCTGCACTGGCAGGCGGATTCTTAACCACTGTGCCACAGGGAAGCCCTGTTCTGATTTTTTAAAATTATGATTTACCCTCAAATTCCTGAAGTTTTAAATGATACCCCAGAAAAATTGCCATTTTTATCTTGTGACTTTTCACTTACTTCAACACTGCTGTGTACTTGACCTAGGGGTAGGAGGCCCCCAAACCTGAGCCTCTATAATGTACATGTTATGAATTAACAACCCATCATATGAGCCAACTGCAACGTACTTTTGATTCTGCAACAGTCAAGCTCTTTAGTAAACACTGTTAACTTCAAACACATAATCCAATAGTTAAAGCCAGGTCACTGAAGTAGACCTTTCCTCAAGAAGAAATACTTCTGGATGGTTTACAAGATCATTTGTTCATTTCAGCCTGAATTACATAGATTCTATGCTAAAAGAAAATACTTCTAACATGCAGATTAAGGAGGACTCTTAGATACTACCTTTCAGAAGGGAAACTGGGAAACTGATTCTGCATGAAATGCTTTCAACCCCATCAAAATATAAAAATATGTGAACTACCACTCATAAACCAGAGGAAAACTCTCCTAAACCAATGTTAATTACAAACCTCAAGATAATGGTTCTCAAATGTGGGTTCTCTTAACCGTGCTTAAATGGATACCTATGAATCACCTGTGAACTTGTTGAAAAGAGACTCCTGAGCCCCAATTTGATTCAGTGGCTTGCAGTGGCGCCTTAAAAAATGTTTTATTTTTTTTAAACCTCATAAAACATTGGAGAGAAGAAGGTTTTAAATAGTTATTTGGAGAGCTCTCCAAGATTTATTGTCAAGGATTTCCCTGGCGGCGCAGTGGTTAAGAATCCGCCTGCCAATGCAGGGGACATGGGTTCAAGCCCTGGTCCGGGAAGATCCCAAAAGCTGGGGAGCAACTAAGCCCATGCGCCACAACTACTAAGCCTGCACTCTAGAGCCCGCGAGCCACAACTATTGAAGCCTGCGTGCCTAGAGCCCATGAGCCACAACTACTGAAGCCTGCGCGCCTAAAGCTTGTGCTCTGCAATAAGAGAAGCCCCCGCAATGAGAGAAGCCCACGCACCACAACGAATAGCCCCCGCTCGCCGCAACTAGAGAATGCCCGTGCTCAGCAACGAAGACCCAATGCAGCCAAAGATAAATAAATTAAAAAAAAGATTTATTGTCAAGTATAAAAAAAAAACAACGCAGAATAGAATACATAGGATGTTACTGTATATCGGTGTCAAAAGAATAAAACAAAACAAATGGATAGAAAAATAAAAATATCTGAAAGGATAAAGAAGAAACTAATAACCCCGCTTTGTTCCCCCTTTCAGTAAGGGGACGGTAACAAGTTATATGGGAATGTGAGAAAAATTTTCCACTGTATACCCTTTTGATTTTTGAACATATAGTTTTTAAAACGTATAGTGTTTAAAAATACTGTACTATTTAAAATGTATAGTATTTAAAAATAAATGTATTATCTGTATTTTCAAATAAAGACTTTTTAATTTCCCAGATGAGTCTGATACTCAGCCAGAAATGAAAACTATCACCATAGGAAAATGAGACATCACATTTCCAGAATGCTAACAGCTCTTCTACCAACAGTCACATATGTATCATCTTCCTAAAGTTAATATTGCAATGACACAAGGATGGGTTAAAAAAACCCCACAGAATCACTGGTGGGAATGTAAAATGGTGCAGCCACTACGGCAACGGTATGGAGGTTCCTAAATAACTAAAAATAGAGCTACCATATGATCCTACAATCCCACTCTTGGGCATATATCTGGAGAAAACTCTAATTCAAAACATACGTGCACCCCAGTGTTCACAGCAGCACTATTTACAATAGCCAAGACATGGAAGCAATCTAAATGTCCATCAACAGATGAATGGATAAATAAGGTGTGGTATATATTTACAATGGAATATTACTCAGCCATAAAAAAGAATGAAATAATGCCATTTGCAGCAACATGGATGGACCTAGAGATTATCATACTAAATGAAGTCAGACAGAGAAAGACAAATATCATGTGACATCACTTACATGTAGAATCTAAAAATATGATACAAATGAACGTATTTACAAAACAGACACACACAGAAAACAAACATGGTTACCAAAAGAGGACGGGGAGAGAGAGAAATTAGGAGTTTGGGACTAGCAAATATGAACTAATACATATTAAATAGATTAAAAAAAAAGGATTTACTGTATATCACAGGGAACTATATTCAATATCTTGCAATAAAGTATAATGGAAAAGAATCTAAAACAGTGTGTGTGTTTATATATATAAATAACTGAATCACTTTGCTGTACACCAGAAACTAACACAACACTGTAAATCAACTACACTTCAAAAACAACAACCGTATCCACAAACTTACCTGGAGGTACAGGCGGTGGAAAGCCAGGAAACTGTGGGGGTGGGATCCCTGGTGGGAGTGCTGGGATTCCCATGGGAGGGCGATTCAAATGAGGAGGGAATGACATTCTTACCGCAGCGGTCTAAAGAAAGAAATCATGACAAATCATGTTATTTGAAAACTTTACAATTTGATATGCTTGGTTTGTTGGCCTTCATTTTTAGAGTATCTGCAAAATTCTCAAGTTTTCTTACCCAAAGGAGCTGGCAAAGACCCTCTTTTCTCTGTCTGTCCATTGAGAATTTTTTAAACTTAGATCTTTTCTAAAATAAGTTCCCAAAATGTACACGATCTAACTTCAGGATAGACTCCTACAGTCATATGGGAATACATATAAAGGAAGAAAAAAATTTTGAGGTTCAGTTAATATCCAAAAATTAAATACCAAACATCAATGAATCTTTTTAAATCAAACTCAGAATCCAGGAAGATATCTAACAGTTTTTAAGTGTTCCGATGCATTAATTTTTTATACACATCAGCATCCTGAAGACTAAATTTACAAAGTTACACAGTATTTGTTGATTCAGTGTTGGCCAGTTCTTCCAGGACAAATGAATGTCTCAGTGACTTCCTACAAACCTGAGGGGGGAGGGGGGACGACCTCCATATATCAGGTCACATAGTAACCATTCAAATATAATGGTTCAAATATAAACCATTCACATACAACTTGTGACAATGAGAAAAAAGTGGTAATTTTTCTTAAACTTAAAAGCAAACCTCTTAACCATTCTTGAATGATATTCAATGAATGAATGACTGAAACTCAAGAATCAGACGCTGGTATTTGATTTTTAAAAATACAAGAACACAATGAACTGTTTGATTTGGTTTGTGATATCATTCCTTAATAAGAAACTTTTGTCTTTTAGATAAAGTACTGGGCTTCCCTGGTGGCACAGTATTTAAGAATCCGCCTGCCAATGCAGGGGACACGTGTTCGAGCCCTGGTTCGGGAAGATTCCACATGCCGCGGAGCAGCTAAGCCTGTGCGCCACAACTACTTAGCTGCGCGCCACAACTACTGAAGCCCGTGTGCCTGGAGCCCATGCTCTGCAGCAAGAGAAGCCACTGCAATGAGAAGCCCACGCACCGGAATGAAGAGTAGCCCCCGCTTGCCGTAACTAGAGAAAGCCACGAGCAGCAACGAAGACCCAACAGAGTAAAAAATAAATAAAATAGAAGTACTTAAGACTTTTCCTCCCCCCAAATTTTATATTTTTGTCAACATACTCAAGTGTCCAGAACTACTGGAAAAAAGTAGAAAAATGATGTTAGAATGCCCTAGTAGGATTCCATGCACCAATTTTAACAAGCAGCCAAAATAAGTGGGTTGATCTCCTATCAGTGATGCAGCTAAAAGTGGTGATTTGATTAATAGATTTTCTGTTGGACACTAGGAAAAACTCCCCCACCTACACTCTGTAACTGAAGGAGTCTAGAGTTTCAGAAGCTTTTAAAAAATGTTTTTCTCTATTATTTTCTTTTCTATGTTTTTTTTTTTTTTAGATGTACGTGGGCCTCTCACTGTCGTGGCCTCTCCCGTTGCGGAGCACAGGCTTTGGACGCGCAGGCTCAGCGGCCACGGCTCACGGGCCCAGCCGCTCCATGGCATGTGGGATCCTCCCAGACCAGGGCACGAACCCGCGTCCCCTGCATCGGCAGGCGGACTCTCAACCACTGCGCCACCAGGGAAGCCCTTTTCTATGTTTTATATATTGTTTTACTCACCCTTTAGAAGAGAGAGGATAAAATGTGCATGTCTTCTACTTCCTCGCCCCTGATTCCAACAGTTTGGTATAATTCGTTGTATTCTTCTAAAATATCTTTCTAGACACAAGCTAATATATAATCACTTATGTTTTTCTGCAAACAATATAATCATACTATATTGTTATGTGCATTTCTCCCTCATCATTATTAACATCTCTTCATGTCACTTCATAAAGTTCTATTCCATTCTTTATAATGCAGTAAACTATTACTATATAGCTGTAACTAACCAACATTGATGATTCTCCACATTTTACCTCTTACAAATCATATTACACATTCTTGGTCATATTGGACATATAACTCTAAGCACCTGTGCAAGTAATTCTATAATACAGATCAGTACTGTTATGTATCTACTCTTTACCTCCAAATCTAGTGTACAAATTAATTTTCCCACCAACAGTACATGGGTACGCCCTTTCCTCATATCCTCACCATCACTGTAGTAAATCTCCAGTGTGACAGGTAAAAAAACAGTTTCAACTTGCATTAGACATTATTAGACATTTCTTTAAAAAGCATGTCCTTCATCCTCACAGCTCTTCTTCCTCAGTATTCTTTTCACTTAATAAGTTAGGATATACAATATTCTGTAAAATCTAAACTTCAATTTCGAAAGCACAGTACACTTAAAATATTTAGGAAGCTTTACAAGTAAAATAAATTCCTAGAATGTTGTCATATACCAACAAATAAGGTACTGGAAATGCCTTAAATATTAAGTAAGTATCAACTTGAGTTAAAAAGAAAAATGTAGCTAATTTAAGATAGTAAACGTGTTGAATTTTTTAATAATCTTTTTTAAAATACTTTTTTGCCCAAAACAAAAACAAATATTCCACATGGAAGGGGACAGGAGTGTATATCCTTTTAAAACATCGAGGGCTACAGTCCTACTTACATAAGCTTTTATATTATCATTTTAATACTCTATCTCAGCACTTCCTTAGGAGGGCAGTTGGTATTAATACCTGTTAAATAAATAATCAGTGAATGAATCAGTAAACAAATAAACTCTGAGAACCTCTTTAAATAAATTTATTAAGAAGCTACCATGTGCCAGGTACTATTCTAGCAATGACTCAGTACCTAGCCTCACAATGGTTACAAAGATTGGGCCATGAATTCATCTTTAGAATCACTTTTTCCCAAGTACTAAATACAAATACTACTTTTAAAAAGAAACCCTCTAAGTTCTTGGTGTTTAAACTATTTTTCACGGTTTTCAAACATATCATTCATTAAGAGTTAACCAGATTACGTTTCAGTTTATGCTAATATACTCATTTCATTCACTCCAATTTTTCTACGAAGTATTTCCCTTTTATTTGGAACTGTTCAAAACTTGCTTATTTGTAGGCTAAACTTCGAAGGTGAAGGTAATCTTAATAAGATAACAGCCCCTCCTATGGAAATTCAGAAAACAAACATTTCTGATGATCTCTGATAAATATTAATATTCACTTTAAACATCCTAGGGACTTCCCTGCTGGCACAGTGGTTAAGAATCTGCCTGCCAATGCAGGGGACACGGGTTCGAGCCCCAGTCTGGGAAGATCCCACATGCCACAGAGCAACTAAGCCCGTGCACCACAACTACTGAAGCCCACGTGCCTAGAGCCTGTGCTCTGCAACGAAGAGTAGCCCCCGCTCGCTGCAACTAGAGAAAGCTCACGCACAGCAACGAAGACCCAACACAGCCAAAAAAAATCCTAAAATGGGTATCAACCACTTACTTCAACATAAAGTTTGGTATACTTTGATGTATGTGAAAATGAATGATAATAAACGAAGCTTATCATTTTTGCCTATAGTTGATAAATTGTAATACTCACAATAAATTATACAGATAGTCAAAGTTGGTAGGTACTTTGTAGAATGAACCAGGGAAGAGAGCTAAGGGAGTGCTTCATTTTAAACATGGTGGTCAGGTCTCACCAAGAAGGTAACATCTGAAGAAAGACTTGCAAGAGACTGAGGCAGGAAACTCTATTCTGGGGGGCAACAGCCTTCCCAGCAAAGGAAACAGCAGATACAAAGAGCCTGAGGTGGGAATGCAGTGTTTGCAGGAGGCGTAACAAGGCCAACAGTTGGAGCACAGTACTGGCGGCAAGCTGGAGATGGGAAAGGGGTTCAAAGAGTTTAACGCTTTGTAAGCCGCTGTAAAAGTACTGGGTTTTACTCAGAATGAGACGGAAAGCATTTGAAAGGGTTTTGACTTGACTTATATTTTAACACTGTCACTGGCCACTCTGTGAATGTAAGACTGGAGGAGAACAAGGGTAGAGAAGCAAGAGACTATTGCAATAATCCAGACAAAAAGAGATGGCCTAGAACAGGTGGTAGGAGTGAACTGGTAACAAGTTATTTATTGGTTTCTGTATATACTTTGAATGTGGTCAATTGCTGAGGGATTGTGTGGGGGGTTTGAGAAAGATGCAGAGGTTATTTTATTAGCACTGAAATGACTTAAATAGCATTTAAAGAATACTTGAATAGTAGTGTTTCACTTTTAGAAGGTTCAAAGCATTTTCACCTGCTAAGTATGAAACTTTATGGCCCAAAGTAACAAAAACAAGCCCCTATGTTGGAAGTGTTCCCTATCTCGACTGTGACAGTGGTCATACAGGTTTATGTATTCGTCAAAATTCACTGAAATTAAAATGGGTGCCTTTTACTGTATGTAAATTTTATCTCAATAAATATGGTCCTCCCAAAAAAGAAAACAAACTTCTAAAGAAGCTTTACCTCTACCCCTCAACATATGCATGCATTCTGCTTTTCTTTTTCACTTTTTTCTCTTTACTCTCTTAAAGCACTCTTTTTCTGCACTCATGAGAATACTATTACTGCTTATATGTATTCCTCCATTACAGATTTATCCCGATAGACACAAAGTATTTCACCAGGGTCAGATTTACAGGCTAACCCCATCAGGACACTGTGTGCCAAGAAGCAACTGAACCAACAGATTCTCCTCAGCAAACACACATATACAACTTAATCATTTATTCAATAAAACATCCAGCTCCAATTATTTGCCAGGTTCTTTTCTAAGCATTATTTTTACTAGTTCTGAAAGAGCAAATTTTAAGTTATTATGTATAGTTATACAGCCAGTCCAGTAACTCTACATTAAATATGAATGATTAGTGTAGCATGCACTGTTTCCTGCTCTGCTTATAGCCTTCAAGGTACAATGGACTGACATAACTGCCCCAGCCTAAGCAAAGCAAGCCTAACTACAGAGAGAGATTAGTGGTAGTCTAGAGGTGGGAATAGGGAGTGACTTGCAAACAAAAAAGAGGGATCCTTTGGGGGTAATGGTTGCACAACTCTGCACATTTACTGAAAAACACTAAATTGTACATTTACAATGAGTGCATTTTATATGTTAATTATACCTTAATAAAAGGTAGCAATACGACTTCAGGACAATTTCAGGCAAAACCCAGTTAAGACCGGTAGATTATACTGTACCAATATTAATTTACTGATTTTGATCACTGTACTGTTGTTAATTAAGAGAATGTAACTGTCTGTAAAAAATACACACTTAAGTATTCAGGGGTTAAGAGGGACACCACATCTGCAACTTACTAGCAAAAGATTTCAGAAGAAAACTATGGAGATAAAAAGGAGAGGAGGATAAAGCAAATTGGTAAAATGTTAACATCTGGGGAATCTGGATGAAAGATATTTGAGAATTCTTTGAAGTTTGAAATTATGTCAAAATAAAAAAAGCAATATCAATTCTGGTTAGTGGAAATACGTTTTTATTTTCTGGAGTTTCAAAATTCAAAAAAGTTAGGAAGAAAGCTATTCAAAAACTTTGAGGAATCAATCAAAATTCTCATGAACAGCAGTGGTAGAATCAGAAAAAAGTTATCAAGAGATTAAAAAAATAAACAGAATGTTTTTATAAGATGTTAAAAGATTCAATGATTACTTTTGCTTCTATAGTATAAAAGTCAGTATGATTTTTCTCTAAATCATGTGTAAATGAAAAAGGTATATAGCTAACTTGCCTGTGGCCAAAACAGAAAAAGGAAATTGGTAACCCCAAGAAGATGAATTATTTAACAAAAATAACAGGTAAGATATTAATTTACTTTTGTTTACAAAAGCTTTCAACATTATCTCATTTAACCTACCAAATTACCTAGTGTAAATATATTATTCTTCTTTTACAGATGAAGAAGCTAACTTGTCCAAAGGAACACAATAAATGGGTAAGGACTCCACAGTCCCCACTATCCTGAAATTACCAATCCAAAGGCTGTTTTCGCTTATCACAATGCCTCTTTCTAGTAATGACATACCAATGATTAACTCTGACTTTATTTACAGAAGTCTATCCAGAGTACACTGGAAGAAATGTTAGAGTCAGGGTTAGGGTCTTGTATTGATACTTCACTGAAAATTCTTAAACAACAAACACTATCAGTTAATGTGGACTAAACACTATGTTACTTGGGTATTGCATTAAGGATTTTACATTTTTTTTTCAATTAATTCCCAATTCCAATAACCTATGAAGTGAATACAATTAATAATCCTCATTTTACAAGTGAAGAAAACCAAGGCTTTAAGAAAAATTAAATGAGAATAGCATAGCATCTACCTGAATCGTGAGGAACTGATGACCACTGAATGCCTTTCTAGGCCTCTGAACATTTTTGGAAATAACCTTTTAAAAATTAAAGCTCCTGAAACTATATAAGAACTGTTTATACACTACTGCCAACTACCCAATTCACAGTACTTCACACTATAGCAGTCTGGGGCAAGAGAAGTCCAATCTCCTCCCTCTTTTTGGTCGGCTCCACTCTGCCCAGTATCAAAATGGCTTTTCCATGGCAATATACAACCATATTACATAACTTCAAAATAATCTTCATACTCCTAGAACTATTTCAAAAAACGTGTTTTAAAAGTAGTATTGAAGACCAAAGAAGCATGAGAACGAAGCAACATATTTTAACGTGGGGCTGGGTCCTACCCTAGAATCAATGAAGATATAGTTTACTTTAACCTCCAGGAGAGGAAGGGGGCAAGGCCACACCACCCACCACAATCTTAGACAAGCAAACCAACCAGAAGGGTGGTAGAAAAGGTGGGCAGTAGCTAAATTCAAGTCGGGGGCGGGGGGAGGGAGGGCAGTTCACTCGGTGGCGGGCTTTAGACGACCGAAGAAGGGACAGAAAACAGCTGGTGGCCAGCCCCCCGCTAAAAAAAAAAGGGTGGGTGCTAGCCCGCTTCTAGGCAGAGCCTGGGGCAATTGTATCCTAGGCCCGGAATATTTACCGCAGGGCTTCCGCAGGCTCACGTTAGAAAGGGGCCTCAGGGAAGGGCTCCCCAGGGGCCGACCGAGCGTTCTGTGGCAAACGTGGAGCCCAGAACGGGCCGAGGCCTCTCCGTGGAAAGGAAAGGGAAAGTGGACGACAATGCAAGGAGGAAGGCTCTGGCAGTAGGTCCGGCCTCCACGGGCTCCTACTGGGCCCACTCGTTTTCGAGGCCTAAAAGAAGTAGAGAAACCCAAGCCTCGTGCCCGTGCCCATCCCCTCCCCCACCCCACCCCCACCCCCACCCCACCCTTATCCCCATCCCACCCAAGCCCTTCGGCAGGCTCCCCGGCTTTCCCTCCTCCCCCAGCCGAAGTACCCTGTCTCCCGGTTTCCACACGCGTTCAGAGGAGCGAACTCACCCGCCGCTGAAGAAATTGTACTGCCTTCGCGGCCTTCCGGGCTCCAAGTTATGAGGGAGTTCCACCAGCTCGAGATTTCTGCGCGCCGCTAACCGGGAGACTAGTGCCGAAGCGCCTACTCTCACAGGCCGCAAACACATCCGCGCTGCGCGGGGAGCTTCTGGAGGTCTTCCTATTGCCCGGCGTGCACTGCGGCTGGGGGCGTGGAGAGGAGGACCATAGAGAAGAGCGTAGGTAGGTAATCGTCACTCTTGGCTCTGAATCACCAAGCAGCGGCAAAATAACCATAGAGAGGAGCGCCTAATGAGGGCTAGAAGGGCTCGAGCTGTATGTTACGACCCACCCTGCCATTTTTGATTGGAGCTGATTGAATCTTATGATTACGCGACGCCATCTTGAGGTCAAGGTGCTGGCCGGACACTGCGCGACGGCCGTAAGAGGGTTTCCCTTTTTTTGTAGTTTGTGTTTAGGGGGTTGGAATCTCGCTCTGAGGCTCTTTGAGGTTCGATGGGCTGATAACTGGGCCTCACCCAGCACCTCAGAAGAAACCCCAAGTGCTAATCCTAGAAAACTTCTGTTAATACCAAGAGATAAGTGGCAAAGGCTGCGGTTTTTAAAAAGTGCGCACACATGCAAAACACAAAGCTTACGCGCGCAGGTAGGGCCGAAGAGGCGGCTAGAACGTGTTTGAAATTCCTAAAACGGCCTGTAAAAACATTTAACACAGCTTTCATTCTATAATGTAAACGTGCTAAAAAGAATTTCACTTATTAGATTATTAGAAATAAACTAATCAGGAATGATTAAGTTATTCAGTTTATGGACTATATGGTCAGTATCTATTTACAGGCCTTTGTTTCCCAACTGCTTGCTTCTCAGAAGGCTTATAACTTATTCAGTATACAGTTATTGTCTCTCTGAGTGCCTGGTGCTGGGAGTATGGTAAATAGGAGGGAGACGTTATCTTTGTTCGGGAGAGCTGCAAACAACGCAGAATAGATGACAAACTGACCACTGCATATAAAATTGAACATATTTGTATACTTCCTATCAGCTTTTCCTGTTTAATATTACTCTCTAACACTTTTCTTATTTATTTTATGGTTTGTCTGCACATACCCCACTAGAATGTAAACTTAAGGAGTGCGAGTATTGTGTTTTGTTCACTGCTGTTTATCTCCAGTGCCTAGAAGAATGCCTGATACATAGCAAAGGCTCAAAAAATATATGTTGAATGAAGGAAATGATTATACATGGGTACCAACAGAACATAAAATGCAGTGGGAGACTAATGTGAAACGCTAACAGTACCACCATTTGTAAAATTTACATCCATCTGTATTTCGTCTTGCTAGGTTTTTACCATTAAGAAAGGTTAATAATACCTACTCCCCAGAGCTGTTGCAGGAGTTAAATTGGCTAATGCATGTGAAAATACTTTGTTCAGTAAAGCGCTAGTCAAATGCTAGTTACATTTTGCAAATAAAAAGAGTTTGTGCCTTTTTTTTTTTTACAACCACAAGCATAAACAGAGAAATCCTTTCAGGTTACTCTGTATCATAAAATAAAACCTTAGAGAGGGAAGTTGTCTCAAGCAACAGTTTGCTTTCCTGTAGTTGACATTTGTAGTTTACATTGACCCAGCATCCATTCCCCAGCCTTTGGTAAAGGCACTCCAAATTTCTTAAAATAAACCATCCTTCCACTACTCCAGATCTTTGTAGTTTGGATAGAAAGTCCCAACCTTAGCCAGAACCCTTAGGACATAGGGGTGGACTTATGACCCAATCAGAGGTGCTAATTTAGCCCTTGCATTGTATCGGGCACTATTTTAAGTATCATGCAAACATCAGCAACTTTAAACCTCACAGCCACCCAGGGAAGTAGGAGCTGTTGTTATACAGTGAAAAAAAATTAAGTCTTGAAGAGGTTAAATAACTTGCCCGAGATTATAGGAATAGTAGGTAATTGAGGAACCAACCTAGTTCCTGAGTCCATGCTCTCAACCACTACACTATGTGCCTCATCCTATCAGGAATAATGCTTAAAGGGGAGAGGGGGAGGACTCCCTTTTTTCACTTAACTTACATCTGGGAGGATTTAAACTTAGAACTAGTGGGGATAAAATGAAACCAGCACAGAAGAAAGCAGAGCTAAGAGAAGATGAGAGATTTTTGACAATATCGTTTGAAACCATGGATTCAGCCATTCTTTAAGCCAGTTATGCTTCTAGGCTTCTTGGTACGTAAGCCAATAAATTCCTTTTCCTAAATCAGTTTGAATTGAGTGTTCTATCCCTTCAATGGAAAGAGTCCTAAATAATACATTTATATATCACTTGTAGAGCATAGGGCAAGCCATTCATTTGTAATGATCCTCAACCCCCTCCTGAGGAGTTTTTCTCATAGACCCTTGCTGAGGAATGTGGCTGTAGATAATTAATTTGGATATTGCTAACGGCATTATGTACATTCTGGCCTTATTCCTACTGCCGTATCTGAGCCAACTGGTCAGCAAAATATCAGGTGACCTATGAGAAAAACATTCTTTAGCTGGACCAAGCAGATCCTCTCAATTTAAACTGAAAATATAGTGGAGTCAATGAATTGATAGCAAAGGAGAAATGCAGGGATTTCCCTGGCAGTCCATTGGTTAAGACTCCACGCTTCCATTGCAGGAGGGGTGGGTTCAAACCCTGGTTGGGGAATTAAGATCCCGCATGCCAAAATAAATAAATAAAAGAGAAATGCAGTGGTAGGTGAGAAAGTAGGTGAATTATGTCAAAAACAGGTCAGAAGAATAGGCACCTTTGTGCCCTGGATTGAGAAGAGGAAATTATTGGAATTCTTATCAAGGCACCTGGGCTGTCATCAGAGCTGCTGGAGCTAAGGTGGTATCCTGATGAAACTCTATTCTCCCAGACGCCTACCCATGTAGCTTCCTGTATGATAGTCATCTGTTTGTCACATAGTTTCCGTATTAGACATTGAGTTCCCTCAAGGAAGGGACCATGTGTTTATTCATTTTTAAATTGCCAAGCTAGATACGTAGATTTTTAAAAATCACAGCGTATCTTTAAAATATAGGAAAATAGTTTTAAACAATCAGATAATCAGTTTTTGTCTACATCTCTGCCTAGAGCTCCAATTTAGGCTACTTTGTCATCAAGATTTAGACTTTATGTGAATTCAAACTGCTGTCACTTGGCATTATTAAAATATATATATAATTATAGAAGATAGAGGTATACTTGTGTTAGGTCTTCTAAAATTATCAAAAAACAAGTAATAACATTGGGTGGAAGAGGAAATGGGTATAAAAAAGGGCAGTCTTCTATATGAAATGATGAATTAGACTATGCTTTGGGATATAAAGAAGACATGGTCAAGTAGCCTTGAAAAATGGAGGATTTGTTAAAATGTAATGATAGAAAAAGGCAAAGTATTAGTAGCAGCACTTAGGCTAGCCTGAGGATCTGGGGAAGTCAGGGAAGGCTTCTAGGAGGAAGTATTATCCTGAGCTATGTTTAACTAGGACTGCAGAGGGAGGACAAATAATGAATAAGATATGAATATTGTTACCATTTATTAGTAATCATAGAAATGCTAATACCATAGTGAGATATCATTTTAAAGTCATTTCATTGGTACAAAATAAGAAGTCCAATAATACAAGGATGTAGAATAACAGGAACACTTAGGAATTGTTGGTGGAAATGTATATTGATACAACTATTTTAGTATAACCTAGAAAAATAAAGCAAGTGCTTTGCCTAAGACCCAAGAGTTCCACTCTTAATTTTATAGAGAAACCTTTGCATATATGAACCAGGACACATGTTCAAGAATGTCCATGAGCCCTCTTGCACTGCTGGTGGGAATGTAAATTGATACAGCCACTGTGGAGAACAGTATGGAGGTTCCTTAAAAAACTACAAATAGAACTACCATATGACACAGCAATCCCACTACTGGGCCCTGAGAAAACCATAATTCAAAAAGAGTCATGTACCAAAATGTTCATTGCAGCTCTATTTACAATAGCCCGGAGATGGAAACAACCTAAGTGTCCATCATCGGATGAATGGATAAAGAAGATGTGGCACATATATACAATGGAATATTACTCAGTCATAAAAAGAAACGAAATTGAGCTATTTGTAATGAGGTGGATAGACCTAGAGTCTGTCATACAGAGTGAAGTAAGTCAGAAAGAGAAAGACAAATACCGTATGCTAACACATATATATGGAATTTAAGAAAAAAAACTGTCATGAAGAACCTAGGGGTAAGACAGGAATAAAGGCACAGACCTACTAGAGAATGGACTTGAGGATATGGGGAGGGGGAAGGGTAAGCTGTGACAAAGCGAGAGAGAGGCATGGACATATATACTCTACCAAACGTAAGGTAGATAGCTAGTGGGAAGCAGCCACATAGCACAGGGAGATCAGCTCGGTGCTTTGTGACTGCCTGAAGGGGTGGGATAGGGAGGGTGGGAGGGAGGGAGACGCAAGAGGGAAAAGATATGGGAACATATGTATATGTATAACTGATTCACTTTGTTATAAAGCAGAAACTAACACACCATTGTAAAGCAATTATACCCCAATAAAGATGTAAAAAAAAAGAATGTCCATGGCACCATTGTTCATAAAGGAAAAAAATAATGGAAAGTACTCAAATGTCTGACAGGAGAATAAATATACATATTTTCAAAAATTCACATAATGAGCATTGTATAAAAATAGAATGAATAAACTACAGTTACACACATGATGTGTTGAGTAAAAAAAGTCATAAGTCTGTATATTGTATGATACCATTACTATAAAGATTTGAAAATGGTATAAGAACCTAGGACTTCCCTGGTGGTCCAGTGGTTAAGAATCCATGCTTCCACTGCAGGGGGTACGAGTTCGATCCCTGGTCAGGAAACTAAGATCCCACGTGCCACGTGCCACGGCCAAAAATTAAAAAAAAAAAAAAAAAGATATAAAAAGGGCTTCCCTGGTGGTGCAGTGGTTAGGAATCTACCTGCCAATGCAGGGGACACGGGTTTGAACCCTGGTCCAGGAAGATCCCACATGCCTCAGAGCAACTAAGCCCATGCACCACAACTACTGAGCCTGCGCTCTAGAGCCTGCAAGCCACAAC